TAATTAATATTATATTAAAAATTATTAATTCATTATATATTTTCAAAAATACTACATTAGATAGCATTAATTAAATATTACCTTAATACATGTGTTTAATTTTATTTTATCTATATATATTTTTTATTTTATTTTTTTAATTTGATTATTTTAAAATATGTTTTATGAAAAAGTAATTAAAAATATATTTTTTTTCATAGAGTTGAGTTAGGCGGAAAATCTATATTCCAAAAGTTTCCTTTGCAATTAAATAAATTAAGAAGTAAAACATAAGTGTATGGATAAATTATCATGAGATTGTTTGAAGTTTCAACTTAGTCAATATTTGGAGTTATAATTTAATTTTAGATATGCAATTTATTTAGATATTCAAGAAAAGAGTATTATTGCTTACAAGTAATTTAATTTGGAGTTATAAGTATTTCTTACAAGTAATTTAGTTTGGAGTTATAAGTATTTCTTACAAGTAATTTTTTATTTTAAAATTACAATAATTGCTGGTAAAATAATAGTTTTTTTTTTCTTTTAATAATATATAATTAGTGAAAAGGGAAGCTTTATTGATAGATGAGAGAATCTAACGGAATGGTAGGATAAAACTTAACTGTTGCTTGTGCAAGTGATCTCTTTCTTCTCTTCTCGGCAATGGCTAATGCAATTATAAGGTCGAGTTTTTTGTCTCAACCCATTACCCACACGATGCCGTTTCAGTTTCCCAATGATTCCACTCGCTCCCAATCGGTAATCCTTTCATGTTATATAGGTTATGCCTTCATGTTCCTTACCTCAATTCATGGTTGCACAATGCCAGAGGCAACAATTGTGAGCATTTGTTGCATTTTCCTTTTACACATTTAACTAGTTCGTGGAACACAAGATTATGCTTGGTTTCGCTTTGTGCTTGTTAAGGAAAGAGAATTAATAATACAGAGCCATTCAAATGAAAAGGAAAGGGGAGAGCGTAACTCAATTTAAGAACAACTAGATCAAAAATAGTAACTCCGTATGATAATTTGTTGTTCTTGATTTTCACACACAATGTTGTTTAGAAATATGCAATTAAAATTGGTTTTGGGACTTATTACCAAAATCATTTGAGTCTAACTAAGGATATAAATGGAAAAAAATAACATGACTCAAGTTAGTGTTGATGTAAAAGCTACTTCTAATAACTTCAATGAGACTGAGTCTCAAACTTCATTCAAAATAAATAATTCACTTGGTGTAAACTTTCTTTTTACTATCTTAGCATGTTTCATCTACAACTTGTCTTTGATTTTATCTCTGCTAATATATAATCAGGCTAAAGCTTTTGCAGTTCCTAGGAGGAAAGCAATGTCCTTGATCTTATCAAGTTATATTTTCTCGGAGGTTGGTCAAGCATTGGCTCAACAGTCTTCTGTGTTCCGTGAATATATAGATGCATTTGATGGTTATTCATTCAAGTACCCAGGGAATTGGATTCAAGTTCGAGGTGCTGGAGCTGACATATTTTTTAGGGACCCTTTTGTTCTTGATGAAAATCTATCTGTTGAAATTTCTTCTCCTTCATCTTCCCAATACAAGAGTGTCAAAGATTTGGGTCCACCCCAACAAGCTGGAAAGACTGTGCTCAAACAATATTTGACTGAGTTTATGTCTACTAGACTTGGCGTTAGACGTGAATCAAATATTCTTTCCACGTCTTCAAAAGTAGCTAATGATGGCAAGTTATACTATCAAGTTGAGGTTGGTTAACAATTACATTCAAATAATCAGTTCCATGAGTTTTCTCTAGTCACAATGATTATCATACCATGTACTGCCACATGAAACTAGTTGCTTGGATTGGCATAAATTGATACAATTAAAAGTGAAATACATAAAAAAAATGCTCATGAAATCACTCTGGATAAGTGATGGCCTCTTGAAGGCGTTCATAAATCATAGACCTTTCAATCATTTTTCCTCGAAATTCTTTTGTTCAAGAAAAGGTGGTGTAGCTTTTCACTCCTGATTGCACAATTACATAATTGATTAATTGAGTTTATTGTCTCTATGTTGCTAGGTAAATATTAAGTCATATGCCAATAACAATGAGCTTGCTGTTATGCCACAAGATCGGGTGGTACGTCTGGAATGGGATCGTAGATACCTATCTGTTCTTGGGGTTGAAAACAACCAACTGTATGAGTTGAGATTGCAGGTGCCAGAAAATGTTTTTTCAGAGGAGGAAAATGATCTTCGTAAAGTCATGGATTCGTTTCGAGTGAACAAGATTGTCGCTTAATCTTGAAATTTGGATACATGAAGACCTATGGTCTTGAAATTTAATCTTCATTTTTTTTCTTCTTTATTCTAATGAACTCTTTCTATAGCTTTTTTTTTTTTTTTTTTGTGTGCACCCCTTAATTGTTTTTTTTTTTTTTTTTTTTTTATAAAGACCTTTTTTTATATTTTTTTTTTTTTTTTTTTTGTGTGCACCCCTTAATTGTTTTTTTTTTTTTTTTTTTTTTATAAAGACCTTTTTTTATATTTTTTTTTTTTTTTTTTTTGTGTGCACCCCTTAATTGTTTTTTTTTTTTTTTTTTTTTTATAAAGACCTTTTTTTATATTTTTTTTTTTTTTTTTTTTGTGTGTGCACACCTTAATTGCATTTTTTCTTTCCTTTTTTTTAAATTTTTTTTCTAAATTTTGGCTCTATTATCTCCATTGTTACATTGTGTTCTTCATTTTCATATTTATGTAAGTATGCTTGTTAAATCAATTTTAACATGTTTTTTAACTGTTCTTATGAGCTATTGTGACATGACATTTTCTCAAATCATCTTGTTCAATAAAAGTGAATAAAAGTGTCTCATCAAATATTAAGCAATATCTAAAACAAGAATTATTAAAATAATATTAAATCTATGAATATTATAATTGAACAACAGAAAAACCAAATCAAACCTTGGTAAAATAAGAAAATATAACTCATTATAAGATTGACTTTTGATAATCGTGTTTGTTCTTCAATTTTTTATTTAATTATCTATTTTACTTCCTTATCCAAATTGATTAAATGTTTCATATGTTGACATTATACTCAACTATGATTATTTATCTAATATTTCACTCACATGGAACCAAGGCCGGTCAAGTATAAGACTGTTCAAATCTTATTTTTAGGCCTCTAAAATATTTTTTTTACTTATAAAAATTAATGAATTAATTGTATTAATACTAATTTTGGTTTGTTGGTAATTTATCTAGGCTTAATATCATAAGGACTGGGGTTCGATTTTAGTATTATAATATTTTGCTGAAAGTTTTGTTTTTTTTAATTTTATTTATGGACGATTGTTGATTTTCTTGCTATTTTCTTATTTTTAAAAAGTTCAACTTCAAAACTCATTTTAAACCTCAAAATATATTAGATCATCCTTGAATGGAACCGTTGAAAGTATTATATACTATAAATTTCATTTTATATTAAATATGCGTTTTATAGCTAAATTTTAGATAACAATCGAAATAGATTGTTGGATAAAATAAAACAATATAGATCACTCATTCATCTAAGATCATTAAGAACGTGAATTCATTCTGAATAATGCTAATTTTAATGATAATAATGAAACAAATTAGATTCAAAATAAAAGTCAAGTGATTCTCTCATAAACTCATGATAATTCCGATAGTCAATATACGATTCACTACTAAAATCATTTGAAACCAGAAGCGAACACTATCAACTCTTTACAAATCAAACTAGCTGAGTATATGCAACAAAATTTAATGTCCAGAATCATGACAAGTCACTCAGTCGTAAATACACAATCATGACCTGACTTCTAATTCACCTGCCTCGGTAAGAGCTCGAAAACCTTTATAAAAACGATAAGGTACAGTCTTCAGATCCAGTTTATCTATTTGCAGACAATATAGAGCAACATCCATAATCCTAAAACCCATTTGAAATGTGGGAAACACATGAAGATGCTCCAATCCAGTCTCTAGCACCAATGTTCCAAACATTGAAGGGGCTTTATCGTTTGGGATCCGACCAATGGACCAAGAGCATGTCTGATAGAAACAAAAAACGTTTTATATTACATCACAAAAATAGGGCAAGGAGGTTCATATCTGTCCGTTTTGATTTCCTGATTTTCTACAATAGACAAAAAAAAGAGATATTGATGCTTATTAAGTACCTTGTTACCAATAATGTTTACTACTCCATGATTTGAAGTCAGATCAGCTGATAAGATGCAAGAAGGAAGCTGAAACTCAACAGTAACAAAGTCAATTGTCTTTTCGGGATCATTTCTTATTCCAACCAATACACTAAGACGGCATGTTCCACCTTCTGAAGTCAACTGTGGCTTCACATAGATTGGGGTGTTCTTCAATTTTCTAACTCTTACAAAAGTGAAATGTCTGAACATTGAGGGAAATAGAAAATCGAGAATACCATTGAATGGAATTCAACATTCACAATCATATCTTTATCCAAACTGACTTCTCAAATGAAGTTATGAAGGTTTCAAATCCTAATTCAGAAAAATTTCAAGATGGTCATTGAAAAATTTCAGTCATATCAAGTTCCACAAATTCAAGCTTCCAAGAATCACTAAAACCCTGTTCAAAAATCTTGTGAATGGCTAAGGTGGGAAAGGGGAAAAAAAGGAATGAAAAAAGAATACAAAAATACTGTTTGATTTGTAAAGAATACAAGAACACGAAATATCTAATCCCCGCCACACATTTCATAATGCTTTCTTCTAACATAGCTTCCTCAGTTTCTCTACCTTGCAAGATGAATACAAGGATTATTTCAGCTTCGAGTCAAACGACTTGTCGCAATCGTTTGATTTGTAAATTTACAAACATTTTGGTCAATGAGTTATAAGTTAATCGTTAAATAAACATCATTCATATCAATCAACAATTCCCATGAATCAACATCAAATATAAGCGGTAATCATATGCATAATGGTAGAGTCTATACAAAACAAAATAATGTGATTTCTTAAACCTCCGACGCAAACAAAAATAAGAAAGAAAAGAAAACATGATTTACACTTGAAAACGACTAATTATTTTACCATGTAATAGGGAATTCATAGTCTTACTCTAGCTGTTACATTTAAGGTACAAAATTTTGTATATGCTGCGTCACACTATGCAACTTGCCAAGTTCATTAGGAAGTGGCCAAAATAATAATCATCTACAAACCACCATCACATCCCCTTACTTTCCACAATGCACTGTTCAGCTTGCATTTACAAGTTTGATAGTGAACCACTCAGACAACACTGAATGCTGATTGTATTGTTGATGAGACCCGTGAGGCAATTGTTCGAGAGGCAAATTGTTGAATCCGCTTTTTAGCATCTGAAAATAACTAAGTAGCGTTATCCATTGCATGATTTTTGTTCGTTGAATACATTTAAAGGATTGCCAGACGAAAAGGAACATTTATGTAGAATAGAAAAGAAATCCTTCCAGTTTGGCAGAAGAACAGAAATCATTAAGAATTAATCATGTTGAGGCCCATCTTATAGTGCCCATCGCACCAGCCCAGAAATTGTTAAGAAAAATCATAAACTTCCATTTGACATGTAAACAATGAACTCTAAACATGTGTTACATAGAATCCCCATAAGAGAAACAGGAACTATCAGAAAAGCTGATCCAACTTCAACTCTAGAAGATGACATTATCATTTTTATGTTTAAAAATGACATTATCATTTTTATGTTTAATAAAATAGTGAATTAATTTATGCCGGAAGAATAGTGATAAATTAGAGTGAGCAAGTCTTCACTTGGAACTGAAATTTCCAGTATCTCATTATTTCCAGCAATTGACCCCACCCACCTTAAACCAATATTATTAGCAATATAAGAAGATACAAATCGAAGAAATCAACAAACTAGCATACCTTTTTGGCATTTGGTAAAACCAACAATATTTGCAATACTGAGAGTCAAACAAACTCCTACAACTAGGAGGTAATCAGCATGAAGCCTTATGAGCGAGAATATTGCCAGTATAGTCCATGCAACTGCCTATAGAAGAATAAACAAAAAAAAAATATATGATTTACCATAGAACGTAGTTATTGGGTGAGAGGCGGTACAAACTGTAAGCCGTGGCTAAATCCAAATGCCAATCATATTGTCCTTTCAGATCTAACACTTGAGAAATTTGAAACTTTTTTAGGACTAAACATCTCAAGGTGATAACGACTTAATAGTAAGTGACACAATAGGTCCAACAATAATTGCTAAAATAGTGATACCAACATAGAATGTGAATTTGACTCTCATTCAACTCTTATAAAGTCAAGATTATGTTCTACATTATTTTGGCTATCTCATTAGTTGATGTGAGATATTTGACACTAATCCTTAATTCAGTATTGACATCAACGCAACCCATGAACCATCTAAATAAGCCTAATCTGGACAGAAAATTCCATGTACTACCCACTTTAATTTTCTGACAAATTAGCATATATAAGAAAAAATTGGAATGCCATCACATGCTCTAACCAATTGATGTTTTCTTACCGTAAGGTAAAGCGTCCACCAGAAAAGCCATGAATCTTTCTTGTTCATCCGGGCCAATGACTGCAGGTAAAACACACAGCATATGTAAGATGCCAGTAGCTTCATAGCATTTGGATTACAATCTTATGCAACTCAGCAGAGACATTATAGGTAGAGTCATAGAGAGACTTTATGTGAAAAGTACTATAACAAACATGCAAGTTGCAACTGAGCAAATCAAGCAATTCGCACCTCCTGGTCAAGACACTCAAATTTCCAAACGCTCTCACCCAAATCATTTATTTCATTCCACCACCTCATACCAACTAAAATCCTCCCACTCACATTCTTGACTACCCAAAAATCAAGAGCGGCCAGAAGGACAGTCATCACAAAAATGATGACAAAGTTATCAACGAAGAGGGCGGAGAGAATGTAAAATGCCAAAGCCGCAGCCTGCCAGACACAAAAACTGAAAAACATTATTTTCAAGAACAAAGAATTGACATGCAGAAAAAAGAAACCCAAACAGCGCAAATAAAATAAATTGAACCTTGAATAGAACATGAAAGAAGCAAGCGTTTGGATTCGCGTAGTTTTCCCCTACAGGCTGCACGTAGAGTACAATTTGATGAGTTAACCATCTAAAAATGGAACAATTATACGAGCATTCCAACCAAATTAAAAAGGCCTAAGAAGCAACTTGAGATTTATTTAAGAACAAAATAAAAAAGGCCACAGTTTAATTTCATTTCTCTTCAACATAGATGTAAAAAAAATGTCTAACAAATCAGGGGAAAATGAACAAAGAAATTGAAACAAGCAAAGCAGATCTTATAATCATCGAAATGACGCTGAAAATAGATAGAATAGAAACTTCACTCACATACCTGGCCGAGATCCATAGCTGTGACCGAGAGAGATCTTGCGAAAGATTGTTTACACTTTACACAATTACAATTTACAACGCACTAATAACTACTGAAACAAAGAGAAAGAGAGCGCCATAACTAACAGACCGTATATATATGTATTGGGCCATGCATGGCTAGCCCAATGGGCCCATCCACAAATGTTTAGTCTGTTTTTCTTTTCCCAGCACCCGGATGCTATCTCACTAATTTATCATGATTTGGTCTTCGTTTTGTGTGTTGTTCTTAGCTTGGAATCTAAAACTTGCATAAGGCACAAGTGTGACTTAGTAGACTCATGTCGCATGAGAAGAGCTAAGCAATAGTATGAGTGGTGCAATTTTTATCTTATAATAAATAAATGGGCTAAGATATTATGTGATATAAAAAAAAATGAATGAATGAATGAATGTTAAAGAGGGAGGGAAATGTGAGGCTGTGGATGGAGATGGAGGTGGGTCATTGTCTTATCATAAGCAAAGAAGAGGTGGGGAGTTAGTTAATTGGGTGAGGGAAAGAAAGAAAAGCACTTCAAATTTCTGCCCCATACCATATTCACTGGACCGTGGAAAGAATCATCATGGCAAGGGTGGTTGCACTCCAACAGAACCAACTTTCTTTCTCTCCCTTAGCTTCCTCTCTTTCTGACTTCAGCGGAACCAGACTTCAAACTCAACTTCAGGTCCTCATCTCTAACACTTTTTCTCCCTCCTCTTTTATGTAACACTAACATCACTATCATTTCATACAATACCCGTCTCTATTTAATTCCAAATTCAATGCTACCACGTGTATTTGTACTTTGTATGTGTGCATTTAGCAGCAGATTCTGAACAACATTGTGTATTCATGTATTACTAATCCTCAGATGAATTGAATTATGGGTGTGTTTGGATGAATTTCTTTATAAATATTTATGGGAGAAGAAAAAATGAAGGAAGCTTCTCCAAATGTTATAGGTTATTTTGTAGAAATACAAGTGTTTATGACAAATATTATCCAAACAGACTTATGATTTCCAAAAACTTCGAGTTGAAAACATCATGAATTTGTACATCCAAGTGATAAATAAAGCACATGTATCTGTCACTAACTTCCAACGTGCTGAATTTGGGTACAGTTCAAGAGAAAATTATGGCAGCCAAAAGGGTCTTTCCATGTCTCTGCATCAAGCACCAAGAAAATCCTCATCATGGGAGGCACCAGGTTTATTGGTGTCTTTTTATCTAGGCTCCTTGTCAAAGAGGGTCACCAGGTATGACTTGTCTACTTAAGGAAAACTAGTCATTTTGGTTAGCTTGCATATGTTTTAAGGAATGATTTTTCATTCCTCCTCCTAGAAGTACTTATGGATTTGATTATAAACATATGAATTTGGCAGGTGACTTTATTTACAAGAGGTAAAGCGCCTGTCACTCAGCAATTGCCAGGTGAATCAGACAGTGATTATGCTGATTTTTCTTCCAAGGTATGCTAATTGTAAATGGAAATATTGGACTAACCTTCTTGTTAGGAATGATGTGAATCTGTGGCTTTTCATCTTTATTACTTTTATATCCGGAGCTTTTACTCTAGTATTTTTAATTTCCCAGATCCTGCATTTGAAAGGAGACAGGAAGGACTTTGACTTTGTAAAATCCAGTCTCTCGGCACAGGGGTTTGATGTTGTTTATGACATAAATGGTGTGTAGATTCCTACTTGTTATCACCATCTGTACTTATTGTTCACCTACAATTTCATAATATATCATTATATGTTACTCTTCAAGTTCAAATAATGATTTTTCGTAACATATCTCTCTTCAGATTCTAATAATTTTTCGGGCTTATTTTCAGGACGAGAGGCAGATGAAGTGGAGCCCATACTTGATGCACTGCCTAATCTGGAACAGTAAGCTGCCTAATCTGTCTTTGATGTATTTTAGAAGTCTAATCACCTATAAAAGCAAATTATCGCTGTTCAATTCTTTAATGAATTGCATAGTCGACTGAATTTAAGAAGGAATTTTACACTTACAAAAAACTCCTCACACAATTCTTGAAATCTAGTTCATTGTATTTAACGATTCAATATAGAAAATCATTTGTGACAGGTATATAGAGTTCTCCAATTCTTGGCAGTAGTTGACTCATTAAAATAATATCTGAAATCTAGATGAAACTATCTATTGTTCTGTTCTGTCATGCCCTTCATTTTCTTTGATATGTAGAAATTGGAATATGCTATTAATTAGATGGATCAGACATGAGGCGTATAGATTAAGATCAATGTGAAATTGACATGGCTTTTGTTTTCAAAGTAAATCAAAGAGGAATCTGTATGACAAATAATGTTTTAATAAAAAGGTTATATTGAATCTTTCATTTAAAAGAGGAAGACTTGTAAGCTCAAATGAGAAACATCTTAGCTTCACAAATGCAAAAAATATAAAATTTTAAAGTCCCTGGTAATATTTTGTATAATGCCTCCAATCTCCATTTTGTTTATAATTTTCCCTATGTCAGGTTTATTTACTGCTCTTCTGCTGGTGTCTATCTCAAATCTGATCTATTACCTCACGCGGAGGTCAGTTTGATGCAATTGTCTAGGGCCAGTTTCATTCACATCATTTAGTTTTTCAAAGTTATGCCATTTTAATAAATTTTTCCACAGAAGTACTAATACGGTGCTGGAAAAATGAATTTTATTTCTTTTATAGTTCTTTTGTGGCAATATCTCGGTTAAAAATTATGCATGTGGGCAGGGATCCCTCAAGCTATGATAGTACGATTTAAGCCATTATTTAAACATTATATTGTGATAGTAGTGTCTTATTTTAGCCTTTAGTTAGTTAGTTGCACTGAAGGGAAGGGTGCATTGTTCAAACTTATTTTATGCACATGAATATTTCCCTTCTAAAAGAATTCTCACTTTCCAATATAATTGATCTCACTTTTGTTTTAACTCCTGCTTCCTGGTGATATAGACTGATGCAGTTGATCCTAAGAGCAGACACAAGGGAAAGCTTGAGACAGAGAGTTTGCTACAGTCAAAGGGTGTTAATTGGACTTCTATAAGGCCAGTTTACATCTATGGACCCTTGAACTACAACCCCGTCGAAGAATGGTTCTTCCATAGATTGAAAGCTGGACGCCCAATTCCTATTCCCAGCTCAGGATTACAGATAACCCAACTTGGTCATGTTAAGGTATGAAATTTGCGATGTTACTTTACTTTAGCTTATCATATTTATTTTGCTACAGAGTTTTGTATCATGACTACTATGCTCCCTTTTATAATTTGAGGGTTTAAACAGGAATATTTGATTCAAATTCAAGCCACCTTATCAGCAGTGTCTTCTTGGATGCTTTGAAGATTAATAATCAACAAATGATCCCTTATAAATGAAATTAATATGACAATATGTAAATTTATGATATCTTGTGATTTTGGCTGAAATATGGTTCAATTATGACAGGATTTGGCTAGAGCTTTTATTCAAGTTCTTGGTAATGATAAGGCCAGCAAACAAGTATTCAACATCTCAGGAGAGAAGTATGTCACGTTTGATGGGTTAGCAAGAGCATGTGCTAAGGTAAGTTATTCGTGTCCTGTTATATTTAATTTAATGTGACAGAAAGCAATGGAAACTTCCTTTATAATGTCAAGCATTTGAAATTGAAACAAATGTTTACAATCTTATTTTTCAGGCTGGTGGGTTCCCAGAGCCAGAGCTCATTCACTACAACCCTAAAGATTTTGATTTTGGGAAAAAGAAATCATTCCCATTCCGTGACCAGGTGAAACAACCACGCAATTCTGATACAATTAGAAAAGGGGAGGGGGAAGAGTTTATAATTTTTAATAGTCTATAAAAATTGACATAAGTATATAGTTTAATGATATATTAAAACATAGGTTATACTGTTTGGGAGATAAATAAATAAATAAATAGCGTGTTCTTTTTTCATTAGCAAAAATATGATGAGTGACATTGTGTTAGGCCTACACATTGATATTTCGTTTTCCCTATGTTGCAGCATTTTTTTGCATCAGTTGAGAAAGCAAAGAGCGTGCTTGGGTTTGTTCCTGAATTTGACCTTGTAGAAGGTCTTGCAGACTCGTATAACCTTGACTTTGGTAGAGGAACATACCGTAAAGAGGCTGATTTCTCAACAGATGACATAATTCTTGGCAAAAGTCTTGTTGGTGTATAAACTCTTCTTTCAATTTTCAGTATTCCACGTATATTTAAAAAATCTGTACGGGTTTTCTACAATATAAAATTGTGAAATATTCATGAGCTTTTCCATTCAATATCTAAAATTGTGAAATATTAATTACTAAATAATAGTTTTGTTTTCAATTCATTATGCTGATGGAATATTGTGGGATGCAGATTGAAACAAAATAAGTAATAATTCACCAAGAATTTGAACTGTTTCTTAAGGAACTCGTCCATCTGTGATGCATCATAGTTCCTGACTATCCACAATCCACTTCTATAGTACTGCATGTAATTGGTAATTCATTTAGGATTTACTGATATAAATTTTCTCAAAAGGTTTCTTATATGATAGAAGAATAAAAAGAAAAATGAACTTTTTATAAACTAAAATTAGTTCAAGTTAAAAATTAACTCTAATGCATCTCATAACATATAAATTTGCCAAAAAAGTTGTTTTTGAATATTATAGTACTAGTGGCTTCTGTCTCCCTGAAAGAATCTATTTAAGTTATCCATGTATTTCACTTTGGTAATTTTTAATTTTATATTTGAAAAAAGGAGTGGTTTTAAAAATTGTAATCCCTATATTTAAACAAAGAAAACTATTCTCTATGTGCATGACTTGTGCAGCACTATAGTCTTTATGCAGAAATAAAAAATTTATAAGTCTATATAGTAAAACAATAACCTAAAAGCCTTACATCCACATATTTCTTTATTATTAAGGATAGAATAAATATATGAATTCATTGTTCATTTTTTATCTAAACGTTCTTTGATAACGATAGTAGATTTGTGGTAAATAAGAATAAAGAGAGTCAGTAACTTTATAATTAATTCTTCCTTAAACAAATCTTTTGAATTCTATGAAACTTTGGTCTCTCTTTACATAGAAAAAAATAGTTTTAAAAATAATGTATTGAAATCTATCAAAGAAAAAGAAAATTATAATTTTTAATATAAGAGAATAGATAATATAATATTAATATACAGTGACAGATCTAGAATCTTAGATTAATAGAGAAGTTTTTTTAAAAAATAAAAATTAATATTAATTATTATCATATATAAAAAAAATAAATCATAAATATCAAAAATAATTGTTAATGGGTTCAAAATATATATATATATATATATATATATATAATTAAGATATAAAATATAATATTTTAAATATATTAATAATTTAATTAAAGTTAAGAAGTGTATTTATACACTCTCATTATAATGTACATGCATTATTTTTAATATTTTTAAGGAAAAGAAAGTGTAATTTATTAAAAAAAATAAAAGTTAGCATAACATTCATTTTATAATTTATTTTCTTAATGTAACACTTATTATGGACGAGTAATAGATAAATATAAATAAAATTAATTTAATCTTACCATTCATAATATAATTATGGATAAGATGATTTCTATATTATTAAGTTTTTTCTCAATAAATCTCTAAAATTTAAATAAAATTAAACGGATGAAAAATTCAAAAATCACTAATTTATTTGATTTAATATTTATCAGAAAAATTGCCTCAACCTCTCAATGATACATTTATTTGGATAGACCAATTATATATTTTAATGGATATTAATATATGAATTGATATTTCAACTTTGACATACAAAGATGTAATTATCATATGTAAAATCGATTTGGATTGTTTTAATTTTTTACTCATAAAATCAATTCGGTCATTACATCTCATGATCATGGATCATGACCAAGACAAAGCATACATATTATAAAAAGAACAGAGAAAATCTTGCTTTGATTTCCCTAAATTACTCCTAAATCATATAAAGATATAAGTGGGTCCATAAAGCTCCCAAATACAAGGATATCAAAGAAACTTCCTCAAAAATTCTCAGAATATATTATTGACCGATTTATTGTTGAGGAAGATCAAAGAAAAAAGAAAAAGAACAGTAATAAAAAATGACAAAGATAATGGAATATTCTCAAAGGAATATTTCTGACTAGTCAAATTCTTTTGTCTTACCAGTCAATTTTATGAAACGAATTATAGTTATTTCGTTGGTCCAACTTAACCATATAATCTAACTTCCGAGGAAAAAATAAAAAAATTAATAAACTTTTCGATTTTAGCACAAAACCCCCTAACGATGGAGATATCCAAATATTATAATGGTCGGTTGGGCGAAAAGTTCATAAACATTATCCTCAAAAGAAATATAGAATATATTAATTAATCTTCATTATCTAATATCTTATGTTAAGGGTAAGATGATGATGACCTAATTACATTTGAGCGTGTCTTGCTTTTAGACCAACTAACCAAACCAGAAAAAACGGCCATGCGCCGAGTCACTGTTGGTCCAACGAGGTACACTAATAGCCACGTGGCGCTACTAGAGAATCCCTTCAAGCTAACGCTGCCACATTCACATGTTCCACCGCTGAGGAACATACTAGGTGCTGGACACGCAATGGATTTTATGGACCCCATCAAAAAAAGGTATACGTAATTATATGATTATTATTTATTAACTAAAAGAAGAATATTGTGAGGCAAATGAATAGCCACGTGGAATGATGGTCGATGTGGCACCAAGAAGAGTTAACTGGCCCCACTGTAACTGTTCACCTAAGACATTGTTGTGATTAAGAATTAATAACAGTCTACGTGTCTTGTAACCATCGACGTGCCTCACCATCGAGTGAGTTTCGTTGGGCCAAGAAATCCATAAATTACGTAGGGATTGTTGGGCCCAGTCGGTGTGGTTTTATCTCATTGTGATTTGCGTGGGCGGTGGTAGTTAACCAGAAAAAATAACTATAATATTCTATATTTGCCTTTACACTTTACAAATTACTTTTTTAGTTAAATCAAATTTTAATATTAGCTAAAGTGTAGGAAGCGTGTATGAGACCATATTAAAAAAATTATCTCAATATATTAGATCACGGATCCACAATTTTCATTCAAATCAATGTCTTTTAGTTTACTGCCGACATTTTAATTTAAGTTTTACTTGCTAAATATACTATTAAATTCGTTGGCAGATAATAGCAGCACGCTAACATGCTCCATCGTATTGTTGGGTATGAAGTATACACATTTTTTTTAATGTTCACATGACTGAAGGAAATATTAAGTGGTAAATAAACACATCACTTAATGATAAAAATAAAATATCACGGAGATTTTTTTTTTACATGGATTAAATTAAAAATAAATAAAATTATGATATTTTAAAAATATGTAAATATCATTAAGTTAAAAGCTTATGATGTCACATGTTAAATTCTATAAGCATAAAAGTTAGAGAAAGGAAAGAAAGGATTACCAACTTACTAGGATAACGAAAATCAAATTTGTAGTATCTGAATTATTCTTGTATTATTTGTTGGACGCATAGCATAAACGTTGTATACAAACATGCATAAACTTATATAAACAATATTAGAGACAGCGTTTGCTAATTTGACACAGATCAAATACTTATATATAAACATTAAACTAAACATTCGGTCTATAAATTAATAATAAAAAAGTAAGGTATTTTGGTATGGTCTTTGGTTGCTTGCTTGCAAAGTTAAATCGTAAAATTAAGGATAAGAGATCGAGAAAGAAAAGAAAAGGTTACTATGATAACAAAAATATATATATATATATATATATATATATATAT